CTTAATTTATATACCAAAAAGTGCAGTATTCCACTGTATTGCATAGATAGGTATAACTAACACATAACTGAATAAGCCAAATTCACTCACTTCACTCACTCACACACACACACACACACACACACACACACACACACACACACACACTCACCTCTCTCCCACAGGCCCCACAAACAGACCTTCCCTCATTCAGTGTGCGAACCGTTCCCGCCCCAGCAGGTGACGTCACCGCCGTGTCATTTACATTTGGAGTGATTTAAACCAATTAAATGGTTTGTCACATCAGGTGACAAAATATTTTGGACATATTTTATCAGGTGTAAAGATTACCTAAAAACCATACTTGAGTAAAAGTACAGATACAGTGAAAATTACTCCACTACACGTTACAAGTCACCAATTCCAAAACAACTTGAGTAGAAGTCTTAGAGTATCTGATTTTAACAGTACTTAAGTATTTTACTTATACTAAATATAGGCTCAAACACTCACTAATCAAAGAGACATGCAAGTGAAAAACTGTAACGTTGTGGAGAAGCTGGGGAAAACAGGCAGAGGCAAGGATCTATGTGCAGGTATTTAATGGAAAAACTAGAACAAACAATAAGCCAAAGGGAACAAAAAAAACAGAATGACTGGCAAAAAAACAACCATTACATATAACAAATCACAAAAAACTAAAGAAAAACTAGGGCTATATATACACAGGGGGCTAACAAGCTTAACAAGATAAGACACACCTGGGGAGACTAATTTAGGGGAACCGATGAACAAACGGACTACAAACTGACTACAAATCAACGGGAGACAGGAAGTGACATAAAAGTCCAGGGCAAGGCACAGAGAGCATGAAACACAAAACAGGAAAGAGTTGATTTGTGAGGAGAGCAATCACGTTTATTTTATTTAAAAAAGTAAGATTTTAATGCAGGCTGCATTTATTTAATCAAAAATACAGTCAAAACAGTAATACTGTGAATTCTATTTTAATATTTTAAAAATGTAAAATACTCCTGTGATGCGGAGCTGAATTTTCAGCATAATTACTCCAGTCTTCCGTGTCACATGATCCTTCAGAAATCATTCTAATATGCTGATTCGATGGTGCTTAATAATCATATTTTTATTATTATCGCAGTTGAACACAGCTTCATATTTTTGTGGATTTTTAAAAACAAAAAAGTTCATAAGAACAGCATTTATTTGAAACGTATATATTTTGCAACATTACAAATGTTAAATGAATTGAATTGCATCTTCGATGAATAAAAGCATTCATTTCTATATAAAGGAAATCTTTTTGAATAGTAGTGTAGTTGTTTTCGCCGCGTTTGCGATATTGTGAATTATAGCTGGTCTGTACGGTGGCGGATTTGCAGCTGCATGTGTTGTCAAACTGATGAAGATGTTTTCTTAATTTGCTGGTGTTTTTTCAATTTGCATGTGTTTTCTTAAATTGCAGCGCGTTGAGCTCTCTCGGCCACCGTAGGTCTGGAATGTTGAATTGACCAATCAGCATCCAGGCCTGAAACGATCCATTTTATGGTGTCATTTTTATTTGATTGCTCGTTGACCCAGAGGCATTTGAAGGTTTTACATGTATCTCCAGGCCTGAGTTCATGTGAATGAGGTTATGATGTAGGCCTAGGTCTCTGTCCTTTCTCAGAATAAGTTGGTCCTCTTCACTGGGCTCTTGGAATGTCTCTGCTTTTGTCCGGTCTCTGTGAGAGTTATCATAAACAGTGCTCGCCTTGAATGTGTAATTTGGACCAAACACTTCCAGACCAGTAACCCCCCTCTTCCCCATCACCCACCCGTTCCCTCTCTCTTCCCGGCAGACAAAAGAGATGAAGCACAAAAGACGCTTTCAGCCTTTCTGCTTACAGTTTTGAAGACTGGTAGATTTTGGGGAAGCAGGGCAGTTGAGTGAGTGCACTGGGTTCTCAGAACTTGTTGAGTCTGAGAGTTTAGATGGAGTAGAATAGAGCCACAGCGCCTGAAGGTATCGGGTTTACAGTCCATATGAAACAGCTGAACTCACTCAAAGCATCTGATATCACTTGTTTCATGCACATTTTCTCTTGACGTTCACCCATAAACTTTAAAGAGCCAGTGAAAAACTATAAAGGGCATCTTTAATTTCTAATTATTGTTATAAATATTTTTAAAGAAGATTTTATGAATAAATAACTGCAGAAAATGTAAGTGTGTGCATATATCTGGAGATCTAAGATTCCCCAAGAGATCAAAAAACACACAAATGGCATTTGAGCATTTAGCAGATGCTTTTATGTTGATCAACAAGTTATATTTTATCAAGATCTATTTCCTTTTTTTGCATGATACCTTATTCTCTTGATTCTCTTGACAAACTAGATTACCTAAATATTACTAATTGTATTTATTTATTTATTACACATTTTATTTCATACATTTTATTTTATTTAACTATAAATTTAATTAAAAACATTTTTTTTGGGAGATCCTGCATCTCTGCACTTTGTTACAAAATGTATTTATTTATTTATTTAAATATGTAATATTTGATACAAATATTTTATTTCATATATGGTGATTTAATTTAATTTATTTAACTATTAAATTAACAACATTTATTTCTTGGAGATCCTGCATCTCTACACTTTGTTCCAAAATTAATTTATTAATTATTATTTTGTTTCATTAATTAATTACTGTATTTATTTATTTAAATAAAAATGTATTTATACATTTTATTTAAATAAATAAAAATATTTTATTTCATAAATGTTATTTTAATTAATTTATTTATTTATTTTTCCATTTATTTATATTTGCCTTTAATGCATTTTAATACAAATATTTTATTTTAGAAATGTTATTTTAATTTTTTTTATTCAATAAAAAATTCTCGGGGTCTCTATACAATTTGTTCTAAAAATCTTCTAAAATTCTTTTAAAATGTTAAATTAAACAAATTTGTTCTCCATTCAGTTGCATTACTGTCTAGGAGAAAGAAAAAAAATCTATAAATGTTTTCTTTTTAAATGTATTTTAAAACACCATTTTATTCACCATTAGACAAAAAAAGTGGGCTATAATCTATCGCTGACATAAGATAAAAGTGTCAGGATGACAGAAGGAAGGGTTTTCCAGCGTCTCTGTGAGCCGAGGGGCTTTTAGAGACCCACTGTGATGAGCAAACTCAGTGTGTCTGCCGGCATCAATGGTTTATCACCCAGCAACCATTCAAGCCATTAGCAGAGATTCTGCTCATTCACCATGCATTCAGCAGATCCGCAGGGATGCCGCTTTGTGCAAAGAGGCTCTTTGCCCTCACAAAATTAAACTTCATATAGAAAAAACACCAGATAATCAAAATGGAAGCAGGAAGAGAATAATCCATATATGTCACTGTGTCTTTATTTATGAGAGTTTTATGCAAAATACTTGCTCAAAGAGTTGGTTCTGTGGTCGAATGTGTTTACAGTTTTACACTGATCTAATGCTATTTAATTTGGAGTTTGGATTAATTTGGAAAACAATTTGTTTGCATTATTCTTTCTGTATTGAAAACGAAATAGATTAATTAAATATATTTTCTGTACTTTTTTATTTAGTTAGTTAAATGTAATTTAATTGTAATAAATTTAAGAAATGTTATTTTATAATGGTATAAATGTTATTTCTAATCTTATTTAAATAAAAATGTATTTTCTCTACTATCCGCGACCAATATCTGAATATACACTGATCCAAAAATGAATCATCTTTGGCATAATATTTTATTTTCCAGAGAACAAACTAGATTAAAATCAATATTTTCTATATTATATTTTTATTCTTTAAATTAAATTTAATAATATGAATTTTAATACATTTTAGACCATGTTTCTAAATAAATGTTATTTTAATAAATATTTCATTTTTTATTTTAATGAAATTATAAAAAAATACATATTTTTCCCTAACCCTATCTGAGGCCAGTTAATATCTGAATATACACAGATCACAAAAATTAATCATTTTACATAATACTTTATCCTCCTGAGAACAAACTAGATTAACTCAAATTTAACTACATTTCAATTTATTTTAATATATGTTATTTATTGCTAATTTATTTGAATAAATTCTAATAAACTTATTTTTTTTATAAATGTTATTTTAATAAATGTTATTTTTTGTGTTTAAATAAAAATGTATTTTCTCCACTATCTGAAGCCAGTTAATATCTAAATATATACAGATCCAAAAAATGTATAATTTGGCAAAACTTTACACTCCTGAAATCAAACTAGATTAACTAAATATAAAAAACATTTAAATGTTTATGTATTTATTATTTATTTATTTATTTATACATTTGAAGACAAATATTTTATATATATTTTTTTATGATTTATTTTATTTTTAAATTTAATGAAATTGACACCTTTTTTTTTCTTGGAGCTCCTGTGGTTCATTCAAAGAGGGCAAAAGTGAATTTCCATGCCTGTAATTCTGGTGAACTTTTTTTTTTTTTTAATTCTGGTGAACTTGAGTGGACATTTCCCTCTTCACATGACCTCACGATGACCTCGTGTGACCATGAGCAATCACTCCCCCATAACCATATTCACACCACCATGTTGTTCAAAGAAAGAAAATCACTCTGAAAGCATGGAGCTGGCTGTTTTTTTCAAGGCCGTTTGGGGAGCAGAATCAAAAGGAAACAAAAGACACTTCCGAATTCACACACTTGGGAGTTGTTCATCGTATATTGAGCAGTCAGCCTCAAAAGGAACTAAAGACGTTAACGGCACTAATATGAAGCAGATCCACCTTAATGAAGTAAAATTTGCTTTAAAAGAATCTTAAGTGATGATTTTTCCATTATCTTAGCAAACAGGAAACGTTCATAGACTATCGTTCTGACAAGGGTATTTCATTCTTTCGTTAATATTAATAGAATGTTCGTTCAGAGTTAAAACATTTTTTAAATTTAACTTTTAAATGTTACTTGTTTCAGAACGTTCAGAAAACATTCAAAAGTAACATTTTGAAATTTTTTTTGTTAAAAATTAAAGTTATGTTACATTACCTCTTAAAAGTTTTATATTAAAGTTAAAGCTCCACAGAAAAAAAAAAATCAAAAAGGTAATTGCGAATTTTTATCTCACAATTCGGACTTTGTTTCTCGCAACTCAGTTTACATCAAAAAAATTGTTAAGAGTTTAGTTTATCTCGCAATTATGATTTCCCCCCCCCCTCAGAATTCTGGGTTCACCGCTCACTTTTTCGGCACTGAATAAAAAATTGTAACGGTAATTTCGACTTTTTATCCTACAGTTCTGGTTTTTTTTTTTCTCAGAACTGCGAGTTTATAGCCTACCTCACATTTCTAACTTTTTTTCCCCACGGAATTCCAAGAAATGAATTGCGGGGATATAAACTCAGAATTGTGAGATAAAAAGTCCGTTAAAAGTTTCATTCCGTGGCGGGAACAGGCTTCCATAATAAGGCAGCTTGACTGCATAAAACTGAACTATAGGCCTACTTCTGGATTTATGTAGCCTACTTGATGAAACATTTAAAATAAAACGGAGGTTATCTTCGACAGAAAAGACCGTGACGCATAAAGACGGAAGAAAATAGCACATAAATTTACATTTAATCGTCAAGCCTGAGTATTTCACCAAAACAAGTAGGCTTTTTGAAGAGGCCAAATTCAGAGGGTTCTCACCCGAGGCACTATATCTGTTCCCCTTCCATCACCCTCATGCTCTATTCTCCATCCCTAACACTCATTCTTCTATACAAGCTCAAAAGTTTGAATATGTGAGGACTGTTAACATGCAGAGAAGAGCAGCATTAGTATTCTGCTCAGACAGCACCGGCCAGACTCTGCGGTAATGAGATCCGAGCCGCTTTCACAGCTGGTCTCCATGTTAGCAGATCTCATAATAAAAGTTATGTTAACAAAAACTCTTGGTCTGATCAAAATGTCGATGCTGAGCGAAAGATCCAAGAAATGTGACAACGTAAGAAGTGTTGCCTGTTTCTAATTTCGGTGTTGGCATGGTGATGCCACTTGCTTAAGATACAATGTGGGATCAGATGGTTAAAGTTAAGGAGAGACACAGGACGGTTTAGAGGAAAGTCTCCAACAAACAGGAATTCCCGCAGGGAGTTTTGAAGTGAATGCCAGAAACTCAAAAAGAATTAAACATGAACTGATTGAAGAGGAACGCAGAACTCTTGGCTGTAAATGAGTTAAGGATGAGACTTCTCTCACTGCTTAACCCAGCCAAAACTAGTTTGCCGGTCTTAGAGGATTTAAGCTGGTTTCCCAGCCTGACCTGCTGAAAAGTGCTCAAAACCACTCTAAAACCAGCCCAGCCATAGACCAGCCTAGTCAGCTTGGGAGCAGGATTATTACTGTAAAACTACAATAAATAAATAACATTGCAAAAATTAATTTAGGTAATTCAAATTCGATATTCATTAATATACAGCACACATAAACCTTTCAGAACCAGATGTAAAACCAGACGTTTTAAACACCATACAGACAGATATCCGTTCCTATCTATTCTCACAAATTGGTCGCCACCATGTGGTCACATTGAGAACTGCAGTGTCAGAAATACTATAACGGTTCATTACCGACCTTGAGTTCAGTGTTCTCCTCTCTTGCTCTTGGACTATTACTGTTGATATCTGCAAGAAACTGGGGGAAAAACACATCACAGGTGAAAATATAACACCTTAACAAAATGGATTCGCATTTGCAAAACAATTTTTCCAAAATATTCATGTCAAAAGTGCATCAGTCAGAAAACGTAAAAGACGACTGTCAAAACTACAACCAAAAAGAATCTTTGCACATATAAAAGCATTACACCATCATTATACAGGTTTCATTTCATTTTTATTATGACAAATGTACAAGATAGTAAATCATATGAAAGAAATTACAATACAGTTAACAAAAACATCCAAAAGAGGCACAGACGAACACAAAGGACATTTCTAAAAGCTAAAACCAGACGGCATCTGTCCATCTGCTGTCAAACTACATCAGCCAAATATCTTCAAACACTGGTGTCGGCATCCCTCATGACATAATATCAAATTAAACAGATTTTTATGTGAAATACAAATATATATACTGTCATTATAGGCTGGGCCTCGATTTCAAATGGATGTCTGTACCTTTGATTTTTAATTTACACAAGAATTGAACACCAGCCCAATACTGTTAATAGACCACCTCGAGAGAAATGCATTGTGGTCTAGTACCTAATGATGCTCTTGGTCTTAGCATGTCTAAAACTATATTTGTAAAAAATCTGGGAAGTTTTATTCTCAAAATCTGATGCCCTAATGCCGCAAGAGCAAATAAATCAGACTAGAATACAGTATATGTGCATGCCAAGCATAAACATTAATGTACAAGACATTTTTTACACCGCTTTTGTCAATTAATGCTGACATCGAAACAATTAAACTGTCAGTTGGGCTTTACATCAAATGCTTTTTCCTCTAAGAACAGACCATTCTTGGAAATGTTTTAGCAATCAGTGGAAATAGGACAGAGACTAAAAACCCTCAAAGACAAAACCGAAAAAAAATGCATGAAAATGAGACAGACGTGCCCACTTTGGAGTGGTACAAATGTACCTACAAAACAAATTATAAACAGCTGCAATCATAAAAGGACTGCTATGTATACTTTAAATGATTTAAAAATGCTTCTAATATATTACAGCAGAAAACTACAGATATACACACCAGGATAATGCAAGATCATACAATGTTTCTCAGACGTGTTCTTACATCTCAGAGGGGCGTCTCACATCACGCTGCTCTCGGAAAGGTCGGAAATCATTCAAATGTCACCAGCAACATGAATTTCGGTCTTTAAAAACAGACAAAACCAGGAGAGGATGAATCTCTTCCTGCATGTCTTGTAAGAAAAATGTATTGCTTTGTAATTGATGAAGAACAAACAAATCATACACATCATTAGTATGCTTACAAAACTAAAGGAAAACGTTACAATGATTATATTCATATATTTATATAAAGAAAATGAATATAGTGCACTGAAACACAGACATAAGCAGGACATGATGGGCAAAGAAGAATCGCTTTGACGGAATATCTGCACTAAAATGAGATGAACAGCACTAAACTTCAAGGAATCCCTCAGAGAAGCAAACTGCGCATCGATGTGGGTGAGAGTCCTCAGCATTTTATCATCCTCGAGTGGAAGATTTGGCATTTGATGCATTGAAAAGATGCCAGAGTAAATAGTGTTTGAATTCAAATCAAAATGTGGTGCTAAAAAAACAGTCCAAAGCAACAGAATTGGATGCAATGTTAGTATGTTGGCATAAGTAAATGAGCAATTTTTCACCATTAGATATCTTCCAGGAATCTTTTGCTCTAATGGTGCCAGCAGCTGTACGACCAAGTGATCATTTCAGGTACAAATTCTATAATAAATAGTATAACAAAACAAAGCTTATAATGAAATCTCTTAATAAAAACATTTATTTTTCCCCCACCAAATGACACTATGAAACCAATCGTATGAAACCAAATTCAACTTCCACTCCAATTAGATTATAAAAGATGAATGTTAAAAATGGCCTCGGAGTGGAAACGAACGCTGACGATATTTAGCGTTGTGTGAAACCTTACTGAATTGCACTGACTCCACCCACTTCCGGTTCTCTCTGAAATGTGCAACTGACAGCAGTGGAGATCAAAACGCATGTAAACTTGACAAATGTCTCTACGTCAGACGTGTGAGGGTGAGCATGGCTGTGTGATTAGTGTAAAAAGAGGTTTTAGAGGTTGTTTCCAGAGAGGGTTTGTTTGAGAGCGATTGCCCTTATCGAACAAAAACAATACTTTAGAAGGAATATCTCGGGGAGTCTCTTAGAAGGGTTGCGGTCTCCTTCCCTTGATACTTTTACTCAGTAAAATATTTACAGCTATTATTCATGTGCCACCTGGCACATTTAACAGGGACTGTTGATGTGATCCATGGTGAAAACAGGATGAGGGTCGGAAAAAAATGTTAAAAAAAGAAAAAGAATACCAAGTTATAGCTGTTCACTGTTGCATACATAGTCTACGAGGTCTGTGACGCCCAAAAGATCGTCTTCATCTTCGTCCGGCGCAGCAATCTCCATGCCATTCGGCGCCTCTGAAATGTGCAACTGACAGCAGTGGAGATCAAAACGCATGTAAACTTGACAAATGTCTCTACGTCAGACGTGTGAGGGTGAGCATGGCTGTGTGATTAGTGTAAAAAGAGGTTTTAGAGGTTGTTTCCAGAGAGGGTTTGTTTGAGAGCGATTGCCCTTATCGAACAAAAACAATACTTTAGAAGGAATATCTCGGGGAGTCTCTTAGAAGGGTTGTGGTCTCCTTCCCTTGATACTTTTGCTCAGTAAAATATTTACAGCTATTATTCATGTGCCACCTGGCACATTTAACAGGGACTGTTGACGTGATCCATGGTGAAAACAGGATGAGGGCGACTCCCTCCGGCGTTTAAGGGACAGGCGTCTTCGACGTTTCCTGGATTCTTCCTCGGATGAGTCTGCTCTTATTTTCTTGGGCTTCCGGTCTTCTTCATCAGATTCGGCTGACTGGAAACTAACTGGATGAGTAAAAGACAATAACATCACTTATGTTATGCATCAGTTAACATTATGCATCAAACACACATTTAAAACAGCATTTTTGGTCATAAGTTTAACAAATAACCCAGACAGATTAATTGACCCATATTTTGCATGAAATAATTTTATATGTAACGAACATATATATATGAACATGTAAAAATACATACTATAATTAACGTTTGGTCTCAGTGAGTTTTCTTTTATTTTTAAAAGAAGTCTCTTATGCTCACCAAGGCTGGATTAAATTGATAAACAAATATAGTAATAACAGTAATATTGTGAAATATTATAATTTAAAATATCTGTTTTCAATTTTTATGTATTAAATATAATTTATTCCTGTGATAGTAAAGCTGAATTTTCATCAGCCATTACTCCAGTCTACAGTGTCACATGATCCTTAAGAAATTCAATATGCTGATTTGCTACTCAAGAAGCATTTCTTATTATCAATTTAAAAAAAAGTTATACTGCTTAATATTTTTGTGGAAACCGTGATTTTTATTGTTCAGAATTCTTCGATGAATAGAAAGTTCAAAAGAAAAAAAATGTACCTTAAAGGGTTACTCCAGTGTCATTAATTACTCACCTTCATGTCGTTCCAAAGCCATAAGACCTCCGTTCATCTTCAGAACACAAATGATTCAACAATTCGTCTCCGCGTCACCCTAGCGCCATTTTGGAGAGTATCCACTGAACGCAAACAGCGTATGCTGTTCTATGTCAGCCGCACCACACGGATATGTTTTCTACGTTTATTTACACTTTTGATTTAAACAAAAACGATACGTATCCGTGTGGTGCGGTTTCTGGACGTTGATCGTGTTACATTGCTGTCTATGGGAGGGTCAGAGAGCTCTCAGAATGCATAAAAAAAAGCTTAATTTGTGTTCCGAAGATGAACAGAGGTCTTATGGGTTTGGAACAACATGAGGGTGAGTAATTAATGAAAAAATTTTCATTTTGGGGTAGAGTAAAGACCCGTTCACACCAAGCACGATAACTATAAAGATAACGATAAAGATATAGTTCTAAAAATCGTTCTCAATATTAAAGAATAGCATAGTTCACACCACAACTATAACGATAACGATACAGAGGAACGATATCGTTGTGATCACTTTCAAAACTATTTTTTCCAGCTGATGAACGATAAATCACTGACAGACAATCAGAATCCATCCTGCTGTAATGAGCTCAAGAATTTAAAGCGGCAGACGAGCGTGCGCTTAGAATAAACAGACGATATCTTTTGCTGGTGTGGATGCTAATATCGTTTTCTTTATAGTTATCTTTATAGTTATCGTTCTTGGTGTGAACGGGGCTTAACCCTTTAAGTAGAAATCTTTTGTAACTTAAATCTTTATAGTCACTTTTAACTGATGCATCCTTGCTGAATAAAATTTAATGCATCCTTGCTGAATAAAAGTAATAATTTCTTTAAAACAAACAAAAACAATAAAAAAAAATCTGATTCCAAACTTTTGAATGGTAAAGTATACTATGTACATATCAGTCATCCAGGTTTCTATGTAGAGCTACCAGCTATTGAAAAACCTCTATCAGTCGACCATAGAATAATTCTAGCAATATTATATAAGATACTGGTTACATTACGGTCATGTTTCTATTTTATAGAATAGTATGTATAATGTATATAGTATATATTATATAATGATTGAGCCTTATGCTGTGAAAATGCATAGGTGTAAATGGCACTGACCTTCGCTGTCGGAGCTGGAAAGACGTCTGCGTTTCTTCTTTTTGTCTTTGTTGGTGCTGGCCTGTGAGCCGTCAGAATCTGAGCTTTCACAGTAATTCACCTCTTGCTTACGACTCCGATAGGACCGCCGACAGCGGACGTCCAGGTCACTGTCACTGAATTCACTAGAGCCTTCAGTCGCTGCATGCAAACCCCACCCCCACACACACACACAAAACAAGACAAACAAACAGAAATATCAGTGAACAAACAGTAAACCACAAGTACGGTACAAATTCAACTCAAATTTTTGATCCAATTTTTTCAACAAAAGGTTTTCACCTTCAGAAAACTCTATTTGTCTACCTCAGCAGTTCAAACATAAATATTATATCAGCTTTTCATTTTTAAATATCTGAGACTCTTAATTTGAATTTTTTTATATTTATTTTTACACAATTAAATAAAAAATAAAACTACATAAAAGAATAAAACTTCTACAATATAAAAAAAACTGTCAGAATAAATAACAGGGTTGTATTAGTGTAATT